GTTGGCGAACGTGAAAGGTCTATGCTGTGTGCTTTTCTTACGTGGCATGCGCTTGCAAGGGGTAAGCTTTTAGAAAGGATCCTATTCGCTTTAGATGTGCCTGCAAGGATAACTGAACAAGAATTTATGTTGCCTGATATTGTCGTTATGATAATCGTCAATAGGGTTCGAACGCAATGCTTTCGCACTTCGGCGTATACTCTGCAGCGAAGCACCGCAAAAAAACTTTGGCCTGTTCATTTTTCTTTTTTTTTTTTTGCATCGGTTAGCTAGTTTGTTTTTTAAGCTTCATTTTGTTCCCTTCGAGCAAATTATGCAGCGAGATCCCGGAAGCGAGACGGAGAGGAATTTTCGCAGAATGCTGGTTACTGAAAAGCAAACAGCATTCACAAAACAGCACGACCGCTTGGCCCGTTTCCCGTCCGAGTGTAGGAGCTGTCGCGAGACGTGCGTCGCTAATGTTCGGACGGACGCGCGGCGCCAGAATTCGATTATGAAAAGGAGGCGTTCTCGCTCTTTTTTTATCGCCTGTTTGATGGGAACAGCTGTTGGTTCTGTTCTGCATGCAGTTTCAGGGAGTGCTTGGTTGAGGAATTGTTCGGGGAAGCTTTCGGCACGTGTCCCCCACAGGGTGCAAATTTTGACGTCACCGGGGGCACACGAGTGCCACGTCAACGTTCGGCCGGGACTCCTTGTGTTCTCACCGATCGAACACGAGTCTCGGCCGAACGCTCACGTAAGCACTCGTGGCCAATCAGAGGCCCGCGCAGTACCCCTGCGGTCGGGGACGTAGAATACGGCATTACGGCCTATCTGTACAGATCATTCCGATAATCGCTTTCTGAGCGCGGCTATATTTGTCTACTGGGACATCTGGAAGGCGTTCTGAGCATGCACGATAGTTTTCTTCCGCATAATATCAGATGTTGACCACGCGTTCACAGCCCAGTCACTCGTCATTTTTTGTCCGGGTCATATGTAAGTGCTGGAAATACGTATGGAAGCTGTTGGTCCTTTGTCTGGTCGCGCTAGTATGCGAACAAGGACACGCGATATCAGTGAAAGCTTAATTTAGCAGCTATACCCTGTTTCATTTAGCAGAGACAAAAGCAGCTATACCCTGTTTCAGCTTATGTTGTACCGCAGCGAAGGCTAGAAGCGCGAGCTCATAGCGTTGGCAGCTGCCCTTAATGCACGAGAGCTTGTGCCGCCGAAATGTGCACTAGATCAAGGAGCTCGCGTTTGTAGCCTTTGCTGCGGTACATCATAAGGTGAAACGGAGTATTGGCGACGCGCGCGATCGAAAGCGTCGCTGTGGTCGGCCCACTACAATTGGCCGAATGCTGGCCAATTGGCTATGAGGTCAGCAAAGGATTTCTCGTTGACAGGAATAAGAGGAATGTAAGAACTTTAATTTTGATGGTATTTGCAGTATTGCTTTGAGAGCGCTATGATTTCAGGCTTCCACCATGCTCATTACAAACCCCATCGAACTTGTTCGCAAGGTAATGACGTCACGAGAGGTAACCATTCGAGGGCGCCACCAAAACATCTCGCCGCTAATACCGCAAATCCTTTAAACCCGAGCTCGTTGACCTGACGTCCCCGCGCTCTCGTGTCGTCCTCTTCCTCAGTTTCTGATCTACCCGTATAAGAATAAATAAAGTTGACGAGCAGTCGAACAACTTCAACCCGTCGCGGCGACACGTACACACCTAACCTAGCCTAAAATATCGTCTGCTTTCTTTCTCGTTCTTTCTCACGGTGCCACCGATGTCGGCGCTTACGATTTGCCGCGTTTTGCTCCCGTCTATCCCTCTGGGCTGAAGTGACTTACGCATAATTTGTTTAGTGAATGGCCCTGGTCTGTACAGGAAGTACGAATTATCGGGAAAAAAATGAGATAGAGAGGGAATAGCGAAGAGATTAGAAAGTTTTCGTGATGATCGAGGTGAAGCTTCCTGGCAATCGTCGAAACACGCATCCGGTTTAGCCGATTACCACGAATTTTTTCAATGTACGATATCCACAGCTGGCATACAGCGAAGGTGACTTTTTTTTTTTGTGTGTGTGTGTGTGTGTGTGTGTGTTTCTCGCTAAAATGCCTTGAAATGTAGGCTCATTGAACGGCATCCAATGCAATTTGTACTTAATCATATTTATGGGGACTATAGCGTGATAATGGGTCCCTTTAGAGAGTTTTAGTAGATCGTCACACGCTGAAAACAGAGCTCTCAAGACGCAATCGCACTGCTATAATCCATCGTAGAAAAGGGACCGCCTACAGATACTGTCTGAGGTTTTCCTTTGATGACGTCACAGTAGTCATACAAAAAACTGTCGGCAGACATGTTCTAAGTATGTTTGAGACGAACATGTTCTTGGAACATGCTTTATTCGTGTGCGCAGATGATTCTGACGTCATGCCTGCAGGGAACAGCGTATTTTTACTACATGATGCACGAGAAGAAAGGAACTATAATTAATTTTAGATTAATATCTGCGCAATTCAAACAGTTTCACAAAAAAAAAAAAAAAAAAAAGACGTGGCGCGCGTTGGTATATGAACTTACCTAATCAATAAATAATTTAAAAAAAACAGTCACGGGAAGAAACTGTCTCGAGGGAGATATATGTATGTATCCTCGTCGTTGGTGCGGCTTATACATAAAGCGGTAAGCTTCCTGGTCGTCTTGAGACTGCAATAATAACGGGTGTCCTCGCAGCTTTCTTTGATCCTAGACAGATCCACATATGAACTGAATTGGAAGCAAGCTAGTCGTTACGATCGAGACGATTTCCGGCGTCTCATTTCCAACACGCGATTGTCAACCGCCCAAGCAGTCCCGGAATTTCTATAGGTAAATGTATATCGTCCAGATTGATGGACATTTTAAGTATACACCATGGGACTCTTCGTGATACCCGTCCCCTTCCTCCCCCAAAAAAATAAAGATAGTAAAAACTTTAATTTACGAGCATGTCTTTAGATTTTTAAAACATACGTTAGGTAGGACTTCGTATCGAATTACTTCGCATTTTCTCCCTGCATCCGACAATCGATTTCTTTTGTTGGACATGTTGCGTTGTATTCGCTGCGGTAAAAAAAAAACAAAAAAACTCGGGTATAGTGTTAGAAGAGTAATTATTGACTATGTTGCGGTGTTTTGTAGGTTTGCCTGGCTTTGCTTCTGTACAGCCAGAAAGTGTTTGCATTCATTTTTTGGAATAAAATCACCTTTAGTATTGTTTTAAAAGAAAGTACCATAACTGTGCTGGTATGCCGATGTTTCGCCAAAAACCTGCCGAAATGTTCCTGCGAGGAGTACGCATCGCGCAGAAAAACAATAGACTACTCGCATAAATCCGTCATCGCGCTTTGCGTTCTGGGAACCTGTGGGCCAGGAGCGGAGCGCGTATGGATTTCGCATACCACTAATTCCCACAATGCATGACGTGGCATTGCGCCGCTATGAGGCGCTTCGAATTTTGGAATACGTTTATTGAAGCCGTATTAGTCGCTGCCGAGAGACCAATTAAGTGAGGTAAATTCGGACAAATCAGTCCCAAATAGTGTTATATATCAACTTTCTGATTACGAAGATAAACGTGACTTTAATTTATACTTGTTGAGTGGCATCGAAAACTACTAAATCAGTTCAGAAAGGCTTGGAACGCGTGGGAAGCGTTGTGGTGCGCAACGTTTGACGCTTGTGCGAGAAGCAAACTATCGACGAAGCGAACATCCAAACGATAAAAAGGGAAAAATCCAAACGCGCGCGACGAAGCGGGATGCATTTTCCGAGACCGAGAAAAACGAAGAGCTTCAAATCTTTGTAAAATTGACTTATTTAGTGGTTTTCAATTATTTTTGTTTTATTCAGTCATTTTGAGTGACCTACAAACAGTTTGACGTCTTGTTAGTGGTGCACTCATCAATGTCAGATAGTACTATAATTGTTTGGACACGATAGAAACTGGGAAGTTAAGAAAAAACAGTGATAGCAACACACTTGCTAAATTTACGCTCTTCATGAAAGCTATCTAGGCTAACATTCCCACAACGCTGTTCAAAATGATTATACATCAATTGAAAGCGTGTCATGGGTTCTGCGTGATATAAATCAGGATAAAACGGAGAAAGATTAGAATTGAAATATAAGTTTATTATTATTAACTAAATGGTTACTTTTTCGGCACTCGTTAAAATCTAGTTTATCCTAAACACCACGTGCCTCGATAAATAGGCCACGTAACACTGACTAATGCGGTATCAATCATAATTTCTGCGCGATGAGTGGTTGTTACACGAAAATTCTGGCTATACGCATGATGAAACACCCTGTATGATTTTGTACGCCGCAATAGGCGCTTTACAGCAGCTGAGCATAGGCGAAGCCGTCAGTCATCTTCACATTTCGTTTCCTTTCGATGCGTTTGCTTCACTTTATCGCTATGGTTCCGCTATACGACTTGACGTTTTAAACACCGCAGTGTTCTTGTCCCCAACGCAGGCTTCATGCGACTTCGTAATTTCAAAGTCTGGCATCTCGGTGAGGCAACGGAAGTTAGTAATGGTGGCGCGCGGGAAAAGGGTTTATATCACGATCAGTTGCTCCATTCAGAAAGCATCGAGTCACTGACCAACAAAACAGAGCAGAACAAAGACTCAATAAAAGCAGGCTCACGGCCAACTAAAGCTTCATTGCGACCTCCTTTTTTTTTCTTCTTATTGTTAGTTGACTCGACTCTCCTCCCCCTGCACGCACGACACACGCGACCACGACGGGGAAACCAGCCGCGCTCAAGCACAGACGCGAACAAAAGGGAGAATGAAACGCCCCCGCTCTGCTCCCATCCACGGAGCTCCCATCTCACCCCACCGTGAAAGGCAGCAGGCACACAGAAGTGCCAGAACGCAATCTTACTTAATGAGCAATTTCGCGCAGCCATCCAACAGTCGCGGGATAAACGAGCGGAACGAACGTGTTCATACTCACGCCCCGCACAATCAGCCTCAAGCCGCGCTCGGGAAGGGAGAGTGATCTTGGCGCACCACGCAGGATCTCGGTTATCCGCGGGACACGTGCTCGCCCGAGAAACTCCGAACAGCGAGCCGCAGCACCTTCTCTCGTACACGACGACGGCACGCTTTGGCAACACCACACACCGCCGTCTCCGAGCGACGCGTGAGCGCAGAAGCGGACGTTTTCAAGCGCCCCCTGCAGACACCGGGCATTCGGGCATTCCCTCCTGTTGCTTGCGGGCGGACGGAGGCAGGACGAGGCAGCCGCGGTGGGGGCTCGCCTCGCAGTCCGTAGTACCCCACCGTCTCCGTAGCAGCGTTCCGGTGCGTCGACGGCGCGGCGCAGTCGCGCGGTGCAGCAACACGCATCGGATTTCCCTTTCTACGCCGGCCTTGACCGATCTCCGGCTTTTTTGCATGTGCCTCCGCCCGTGCACGCGCTTCTGAGTGGAGTCTGCGGTGGCAAAAGAACCGCGTGTTATGGGTATACCCCCCCAAAAAAAAACGCTGAAATGAATAGCATGTATAGGTCTTTTGTCAACTCATAGTGCCACCTGACGTCACGTGATCATCAGTAAAGCACGTGGTCACGTGACCTTATGTCACGCGAACATGTGACGTCAGGACATGCGACGCCCCATGACGTCGTTGAGGCATTGGAAGTTGCGAGCGACGTCGTTCATAGAGTGGCGTTAATTGGAACATGCGGTGCAAGGAGGGCCATCGCCCGCCCCTGCACTTTGTATTCTAACTGACCAACAGGTAGACGTCTAACTCCCATTCCATCGAATACATCCGAAATACGATGAGACCGGCGGAATGGGGGAGCAATTAAATAGAAGGAAGCAAGAAAAAGAGCTAGCGCAAAGAGAAGACCAGCAGCAGTTGGGAGAGAGATAAAGTGTGACGTAGGTTCGGCTGTTGGGCGTGCACCGGAGGGTCGGAGGCTCTCGATTGGAAGCATAATGACGCACTAACCTCTGGCGTTGCTTTGTTGCCAAAGCCAGTCCGGCCTGTTTGTCTGATTATGTTTCACCGTCTCTGGGCGGTGCACCACTCCTTTCTGTCCATCATGCACTTGCTAGCAACTGCAGTTCTGTGATGCGGCTTTTACCGGATAATAGAACAGGCGCCCGCCACATTATTCGATGTTTAGATCAGAGAGCGCAAACAGAATGAATCGAGGACTGCGATTAAGGGTCGTGTATATATATATATATATTTCTGTTATGGTTGTTTCGTCCACTCGCGCAGATTCCCGTTCCGGTGGCGAGGTGCGCGAACGCTCGAATATCAACGAGCGAGAAGCTCAGCACGGGACTCATCGGCGACGGACGCCACGGTGCCTGTGGGCAAAGGATGACACCACGGCCAGTATGTATATGTGTTAAACAGTAATAACTATACTGTCCAACGATTCTTTATTAGCAAGGAAAAAGTTTCACTCTTTTACGCTCCAAAGGTATTTGGATTCATAGGAAAATATCTCAGCAGTTTTCGAGGGAGATGGGAATGCTGCTCATCTTTCTTGCGTCGCATTAGACCAGTTACCCCGGGAGCTAAGAGCTTTCTAATGTAACGTACGCGTCTTTATAACGAACAGCGAAGCAAGATTAAATTACCCGTACAACACGCGTGATCTCCGTTCGATGGATAAAAATGGCGGCTTATGCGGCCTTTTGGCGAAGGTAAAAAAATAGACGAGTCGGCGCCTTTCGGTCATGGCCGAGAAAGTGTCTCCGTGTTCTTACCTAACTCAAACATGGCAGACAGATGCAAAATAGAAGACTTCCTGGAGCTCTTCTAACAACTTTACACACACTTAAAAATCAAATTACTGCCGAAGGGCAGTGTTCTCTAGAGGTCCACGTCTGAATGGTCTAAAATTCCGAAAAATGAAAAGTACTTTTTTTAATTTTATACATTGGGCTCTATATATCCAGGCCAAAACCGAAATAGGGTTCAAAATTTCGTTATCGCCGCAAGACTCGTGAATCCAATACGTCAATGCTCACACGTATATTTTAGGATGCGTCTTTTTCTTCTTCTGATCTTTTTTTTTTTTTTTTTTTGTTTATCGTTCTTGCAACTCTGTCAATGAAGGTGACCAGCACATTTTTTTTTTCACAGTTTGGTTATTTTACATTTTGGTTTTGACCGAATGCTTGATCCGTGTTTTACCCCGCTTCCAGTGTCGATCGATAAACGTCAATACTCGCTCCGGGGCGCGGCCTCCCACGCGCTTCCTGCGCACCGCCTCAGGCGTGACGGCCTTGTCTAGCCCCCTGTGCCGGGAATAGGATTTTGAGGCAACGCGGGTTCACGCGTCGTCACCTCTCAGCTATCGCGCCCGCATCGCCGATATGAAGCACGCCATGTCCAAGGAATCCCAGGATACTTCATTTCAGTCAGAGCGCAGTCAAAGGTCAGAAGGCATACAAACGCAGACGCACAGACTCAAAGCGAAAGGGCCATGGCGCATTCACAACGCTTGATTGTTTGAGCCGGTTGACAGCATCGGAAGAAAAACGACGAGCACCGTGACATGGCGGTTTTGGTGCTGCTTGATTGATTGATTGACTCCGTTGATTCGTAACTTTGACTGCGCTCCGATTTATGGTGAAACAAAGTGAATCGCGTCTAAAGTCCTCGGACACTGGTTAGTTATGCCCCTATTCCCTGCTCACACGACAATGGCACTTCGTGACAATTCCTAAATTGCAACTGGCACGGTCCCAACCTTGGGGCGCGGATGGGACAAGTACGTAAGCGAACCGTTGTAAAAGCGTATACTAACACCAAGAGTAAGTTCAGTAACGTGACTGTCGGGATATCTGTTCGTGCAGTGGTTCGGATCTAATAGGCACTGCGTCATTCACAGCGGGTACCAGACATTTCATCGAACGCCGTTTCATCGAAAAAAGGGGACATTTTATCGAACGCCCTTTCTTCGAATCGCCCGACGCCGTTTAATCGATTTTCTCTCCAGAAATTAAAACAGCGCAAAGGACGAGAGAACAGAGGAAGAAAGACACAGACAGAGCGCTGTGTCAGGCTTAGTCCGGTCTCTTGTTTCTCAAGTGTGTGTCGTAGTCGTGTGCGGTGCACGCGAAGTCAACGCCAGGCGAAGAGAAATACGGCAAGCACTATGAACGCGGGACGCGTGAGGAGGACGAGAGGCAACGTTAGAAAGGAGAGGAGGTTTCTTTCATCCACCGCAGCCTTCCTAATGCTTGCCCTTTCTCCTTTTGCCTGGCACTGTCTTCGCCTGTACTGCACGCAACTGACACAGAGTAGGGCTTCAACTGTAGAATTTCATTTGACCGAATTTCGGAGCATTATAGTGCTTCTTAGATGTTTTACTCTCGCTTCTGAGTTGCTATCACCAGAAATTGAATTACTACCCTTGTCACTTTTTCACAAAAAGTTTGGTTACTGAATCATGGAACATAACGAAACTTGAGTGGGTATGCGACTTACTGTTTGCAGGTAAGATAAGCGGTTGTGCTCAACCACACACTTTGTTCCCTATTTGTTAATGCATGAAATGGACATCCGCAAAGAAATATATATATATATATATATACTTCGCTGCACCTTTTTTTCTTTATGTATTAGTTTGTATTCTTATTCTATCCTAGGAGAATAGCTTTCTTTCTAAGAAAATAGGTTGAAAAGCGGGCAGGTCCACGGTTCCCCCGATGACATAAAACAGAACCAGAAAATAATGTCACTGTTTCACACGTCATGCCAATATCAGCTGCCTGCTGAACAAGTGAATGCACTCGTAGAACAGCACTCCGGTAGGGAAACACGCAAAACTGTTTTGCTGAGAATGTTTTTTACTATTTTCACCTCAAGAAAAAAGCAAGTTTTGCGCATTGTTCATACGCGGCGCGAAATAGTTCTTACGACATTTGGTTGTCGGAGGAAAAAGCGATACTTTTGACATTTAAAACGTGTACGTCTGGATAAGATAACATATATGTAATCTAACATTCACCTACATATCTCTTAATTATCCACATAAAGGGGGAAATTAGTAATGGTCCGCGTGGCGCCGGACTTTTTTTACTATGGTTCTTGAAGTGAAAACGGGTATAGTTTCGATCTTAGTCGGGTGTGTCTGTATAAGGTTGTAAACGCGAAAGCCTCGGTAAGTCGGAGAGATTTGCTAGTTGGTGCATCGCAGGAAAGAGGGAGAACGAAGACCAACAGTTCAGTAGCGCACTGTTTGTCTTGTACTTCTAGCCCTTGTTCGTGGCGCTTCCGGTATTCTTGCAAAAGTTTTTCCGTCGGAGAGGTTGCAAGCGAGAAGAGCGTTCGACATACCGAACGCTAGAGAAAAAAAAAAAAGAAAAACGCAAGAAACAGTTGGAGTGCCGGAAAGTGTTGTCAGTTACGTCAGCCCTTCATCCGCCTCGACGGGAGCTGCGCGGAAGCATAGCTGACCCGACGCCTGAACGTTTCCGACATTTCCTGGAACAGACTTCATATCTTTGGCTCGCGGGTTGTGGCGTTCGCGCTGGTTTAACAAGAACAACTCTTTCAAAACGTTCTCAAATACACCTTCACAGCTTAATTGCTGTTTTTTGTGTGTGTTTTTTTTGCTATTAAAGGGATACTACAACGAAATTTCGGCGCTCATTTTTTGGTCTTTATGTGTTCAAAAGAGTAGTATCACATGGAACATACCAATATCTTGTTAAAAAAGTCTCGAAAAGGAATTTTAAAACGAATTAAACGATTAGCAAAGAGCACCTGGTGGATGTCGCTAACGCCTCGTTTGTAATGCTCGTCTAAGAACCTTGACAGCTAGTGACGGAGGTTGTCTCGTCTCCGGCCACGACGAGAGAAGGGGGAAGGAGGAACTCCCCTCTTCCCGAGAATTCCTTTTGTGTGTTGCAGAAGTCGCTATTGTCCCCCTAGAAGATTATAGAAGATTAACCCGTCACTCAAAATTTGTACAAAAGCAGCCGCTTCGGTGGCTGGAACGACTAGGCCATCCTCTCGACGTCAGCCTCGCCGTAGCTTTGCTCGTCTTGAGACGACCTACGTCACGATTGCGTGGAATGTCACGTGCTCTAAGCTGGGCCTTCTCCGAGCGCTTGCCAGAGTGGGCCGTTTATAACGAAAAATACAGCCACTAGGATCAAAATACAAATGTGCGATTGTCATTTACGGATATTGTGGATCATATTCAACCTATTTTTGAACACGACGGGAATATTTCAAATTTCGTTGAAGTATCCCTTTAAGCCTACACTGTTCATACATGATACAAACGACTGTCTGCCTACAGATTCGAATGCGCATCACCGCGAGATCCGTACTTAGAATGCTGCATGGCAATGGGTTCAAGGAG